CACCTTGATTACCATCGATTAATCGCTTAATCATGCGCAAAAAAATATTTTCAAAAGATTTTCGTACTTCTATCTCGTCACGTAAGTTTCCTACGTCGCCCCCTTTCCCTCACTTTTCCCGCATTTTCCGCGAATTCTGATCGGCCCACCCCGGATAAACCCGGGGATCGACGTTTAAACCGCGCGTGATTCCGCGTTTAATCGAGCTTTAATTTTCGGCCCCCTCCTCCCCTCCTCCCCCTCCCATGGGAGCCCAATCGAATTCGATCGGGTCGTCGCGAAACGGTCGATCAATTTATAACGAGCATCGATTAACCGTCACGGACAATTCCAATGTGGAGAACGGACGGACGTGGGACAGGGAAAACGAGGGAGAGGGGTCGTGGTTGGTCGTCCAAGGATCGGTTCGATAACACCGGAGGGGGGAGGGGAAAGCAGAAAAAAAAATTCGCTTCTGTTTCGAAGATGTGTACCGTTCGAAGTTCTCGACGATGGATAGGACGTGGTTATGTTTCGTTACTTGGTTTTGCTTGCAATTGGAGGTGAGAGAAAGAGAGAGGATAGGAGGAAAGTTTTTCTGATGAAATATTCATAATATTTTTTTTTTTTTTTTTAGAAACGTTGGAGGGTGTAGATCTGGTGCAAAAAGAAAGATTTAATAGTTCGAATATATATATTCTTGTTTGGATTTGATTCTCGGATGAGTTTTGAAAGTTTGAATATTTGAATCTTTATGAAATATATTATGTTTCTCTAATGTAGATGTGTGTAGATTGGAAAATAAAATTCGTCCGCCAGTTAGTTCCAGATATACCCGAGGTCTATAAACGGAAGTTGGAGAGACTCGTGCTTTCAGGAAAATAATAGGTTATCGTGTGGCAGAAGTGAAAAAATTCGTGTATTTCTTTGATAAAGCATTGGCGCTGTCTGTAATCTGTCTGCGCTCTCGATAAAATTTCTAAATTTTTATTTGCTCACTTGCTAGATCAACAACGCGTTAATTCGCATCGATCTTTTAATTAGTTCGTTCTTCTTCGAAATCCTTCCATCGATCGTGAAGACAAATTTTTATTCCCCTCTTCCTATCTCTCAAGTGCGTCATCTAAACATGGAAAAGTGTCAAATGCGAAAAACGCATCGAATATCTTTCCCTTTCTGCCAGCCAGAACAACTCTCGATCTTGGACAAGCTTTCCTCAATTTTCCTCGTATCAATATCAAAATTATTAACGATCTTTGCTTTATATTTCCTCCTATAAAAAAAAAAGAGAAAAAAAAATATTCCGTTTCAATCTGTAAACATCGAATTTCCATGGAAAGCTAAAAAATAAACGATGCAAAAATCGCTCGATCTCGAAGAGAACGTAATTCTCTCGAGGCAACGCGTTGCAATGGCGAAAGTTTCGTAGGAGTGGTTATCCGGGGAGAAGACGATTGCCGTGGAAAAATCGCAATTAACGGGAGGAGTCGGCCGTCACAACTGTAACCTTGCAATCGTAAAGGTCTAAAAATATAATGAACGCACGGAAAACTGCATAATGCATCGACCCAACTGCGCTGCGTTATCGCGCTCACGAGCGACCGAGCGATCATGCATGCATGCATGTATGTACGACGTGCACGTCACCACAGATAAATCGTAAATTGGACAGTGACGCTCAATTTTGCGTGTGGAGAACAACCGATTTTTTTTTTTTTTTCCCACTAAGCGACCATTATACGAAGGGGAGGATTGGTGAGTCGTAATGGGTTAGAAGATTTTTCTGTCGATGAATCGCTACGGTTAATTTCGATCACGATTAATAACGATTGGGTATTCAAAAGATGGAATTTTTTTTTTGCTTTATTTTTAATTTTAAGTAGATCGGTTGATATGTTTTTCTAGAATTTCAATTGAGTAATTGGAAAGCTGATTTTGTGGAAAGAACATTTAAGAGTTTAGGGTTTAGGAGTTTATAATTTTTTCTTTAAAGGAGTAGAAAATTTAATCAGATTTTGACGTGGAAATAGAGATATAAAAATAGCAATTGCACGTTGCTTCGTTCGAGATTCTGTCGATCTTCGAGGAGTTTTATTATTCTCTTCTCATGGAATTTTGATCTAGATCGCGAACGATCTTTTCCATCATTCCAAAATTATATTGGATTCATTAGATATATGATTCATAAGATATTCGAATTTGGGTTATTTAATTTTAGGGTATTTAATATTCCTGATTAACTGTTTGTTTTGTGATATTTTTTCCTATGAATTTCGATATTAAATTACAATCGATACGAATTATAATTTAAAAAAGATATATCGTATTTGTAAACATGAATATACATAATGTATATAATTCTAATTTCAATTTTGGAAATTGAAAATGACATAATTACAAATTGCATATAATTTATCCATATTTCGCATCTGATATTATAACCATACACGAATAATTAACGTTGATTCGAATAAAAAATCGTAAGTCGATCGATGTGAAATATAGAGATGTAAAAATTGGCCAAAACTTTTCTGGATTACTTATGATCCAATTACTACCAATTCGATTTATCGAAATACGAAAAATAACGAAACGATCGACGAGAAAAAAATAATATTTTCATCAAATTTGAACGCTTTGATCTCCGTCGTTTTTCTCTTTTTCTTTTCTCTCCTTTTTTTTTTATGCATCTATCTTATTTAAATAACAAGATAGAAATATTTATGCAATCTCCACTTCCGCTTACTATCGAGTTTCGTCGGAAAACTGACTCATGAGAAAACGAACATGTTTACAAATGTCATTCGTGAAAGATAAACTTATTGCTTATTTCTCGATGATGAAATTGTTGATGAAAAATTTACACAAATATATATATTTTTTTTTCTTCTCGCGATCTTCGTATTCGTCCTCTCTCGCTCTCTTTCTCTCGTACGCCTCACGAACCCTCCATCCAAATCCGAAACGAAGCGAGAAAATCGCGTGGAAAGAGGAAGAGAAAGAGAGAGAGAGAGAGAGAGAGAGAGAAAATAATTCCAACTCGAAAGAGATACATCGAGAATTCAGACGAAATTGCCGATAGGTTCGAGGCAACTTTTGCACGGGAGCGATTGCGTGGAATTGCGCGCACGCGAAGTAGAAAGGGTAATTGTCCTGTGCACGGTTGATCGCGAGGAAAGGGGAGGGAAATTCCAAGCGCAAGGGGATCGTCCCTTGATCGTTTGCGTATTTTACGATGCCGCGGACATTAGACATCTTCCCGTAAATTTAGATGGCCGTTTCAAAAATTAAAGAGCTCGGAGGAGCTCTCGCACGAGTACAAATTTGCCAGCTGTTCGATGCAAAATTCACGAAGTGTTCGTGTTTTTTATCCCTCTTCCCCGGGAGAAAGGATATTATATTTTTTGTCCTTTTTCGTCGTATGAAAATTTGATCGGGAAAAAAAAATGTACGTACAATTTTCTGTATCTTTTTTTTTTTTTTTTTTCCTCTTCTTCTTCTTCTTCTCTTTGGTTAGAATTATATCGCTTTGATTATTAATCGAACCGATTAATTGAACCAATATAATTTTAGCAATTACAAACAGATAAACATGCTGACGAGCACGAATATAGTTTTGCAAATTAATTGAATAATTTCTACGTAATAAATTGGAAACGGTAATTAGTTTGGATACGTGTTATTACTAGATATTTATCGAATTATGTAGTAAATAGTCGATCAAAGTGATCTGCAAATGCAACGTTTCAAAAACGACAGATTCCATACGATCTTTCTATTTCTTCCGCCTCTCTTCTCTTTGCTTCTCTAAATTTTCTCGAACGCGCGTATGATGAAAACAAAAAAAAAGGGGGAAGGGGAAATAAAGATACGAATCGTCGGAAGAAAAAAAAAAGTATACTTTTCAAAATTTTCCACGAATCGAAACGGATCCTTCGCATCAACCAAAACCATCCCTCCAATCTCCCAAAACCCGCAAGTTCTCGTGGCGCGAACGATCGCACAATACCTCGTTAATTGCGATTCCCGGAGAGAAAGAAGTAAAAAGAAAGAAAGAAAGAAAGAAAGAAAGAAAGAAAGAAATAAATAAATCGTGAAAAATCTCACGTTCGTCCATACGTACGCTACTCAAAAAAAAAAGAAAAAAAAGAAAAAAAAAGGAAGGAGAAAAAGCACGAACGGTCGGACATTTTCCACGATTTCCCCTAAGAGGGCCACTCTCGTTCATTTATCGCGGCGCGTTTAATTTCCACGCGTTAGTGACTCTCGACGACGTATCGCCTCTCCTCGACTCAATTACCAATTACGATCGCGAGCGACGATCTCGGCGAGCATTCGAGCGAGGGGAGGAACACGAAGGAATCCGTGGAAAGAAGGGGGAAATTAATCCGTAGCTTCGTATTATGATCGTTAATTGCATTATGGTCGTAAAATGATCTTTTTGAACAAATTTTAAACCGCAACCGTTTAATTTTACAGGCACAAGTGTCGGATCATCGCTATGATTCTCTGTCATATATACATGTAACGACGTATTAACTTCAATTATGATCTATCGTACAGTGTTACGATTCCCTGAATCGATTTTAAACCAATGGTTCACGGATGCTGGAACATCACTTCCAACCCTTGTACGAGTCATTAACTTAAATCCATCGCTTGAGTCAATGCTCGCCTCGCAGCATTCGTGTCCACAAACTTCAAATTAATTGATTTTCGATATATCGATCAGATAGAATTGACCTTAAAAAATAGGAGAAAAGGAAAATTAAGATACCTAAATAATTAATCCGCGTTACACGAAAAATTGGAGAGAAATATTTGCAACGTTACTCGATCACAGATTTTCGCAGTTTAAAAGTGAAGAACGATGCACCCTGTCGGAAATCGGCTATCAGAATTTTCGACCCATCGAACACCTGTCTCGAATCCGTGCGCGGGTTTACGCTCTCTTGCCTCGATCGTGAACGTGATTTCGAGGATCGGACGATAGCCAACGAGAACCGCCTTCGTCACCGTACGACGTCGTCGACGTCGACCCTATTTACACGCACGCAACCGGTCGCCCGTTTCCCTTGATAGGTGCACGGACACGTTCGAGGTCGCAATTACGCCGCGAAACGCGGAACAACGATCGCCCAGTAAAGTGCAATCGAGAAGAGAATTAATGAACGCCGCGCGCCGCTCACGTAGAGTACAATCAATTAGTAAAGTTCCAATTAACGTAGGGTTTTAGGTCATCCCCCCCACCCTCC